AAATTACAGTTTGTCATTACAAGAGTATGATTTGAAAATAATACATGTCAAAAGAGTTGATAACATTTGTGATGATGCACTTTCCAGTGCTATGTAATTTCATGATCACAAGGTTATTTGTATTGATTGTGTTCTACACTGTAACTATTATTGAAATTTTGTAATCCTTCGAGTAATGTAGTATATTTAATGTAATGTTGTCAATGTAAATGTATATATATATATACATATCTTAGTTAAAAATTGTCTAACACCAATTTTTACTTCTCTAAGGAGGGGAGTGGTGATGGATTTATCATTCTATATTTACTTTAATATCAATGTTTGTTTAAATTTAATTTATATTTAGAAATGTACATAACACATATACTGTTAAATACATATTGCAAAACTCACACCTATTCTCTAAAGTTGTAGAAGATGCTCGAGTGTAAGAATCAACAATATATGCGTGTACGTAAATGCTAATGTAACTTAGTATTGTTACGTAATCTGAATTTGAGAAACTCTCCACACGCATATAAATATAACCAACCTGACATGCCACGAAAGGAGCATCTGTTATTGTTTTTTTGTAATTGGTGTGCTATAAACTACATAAGCTATAACTGTGATTAATGCTAATTAATCGGGAAACTTCAGATGTTTGACCAGAAACATATATAAATTTGGAACATTACAAACTATTTAACTTCAGTGAATTCACATCGGACATTAGTTCTTTTACGAAAAAATTACCTAACATCATCGGTGGAAACTCAATTTGTAATCGGCATGTGACCAGCGAGAACTATAGGGCTAGTTAGCTCTCTGTTAAGTGAATTATACCTACGTCAACTCGAAATGAACTCACTCATCGTCAACCCTCTATAAGATATAACGGAAACTCCAGACTAGAAAGATTTTATATTGTTTGTAAGTTTGTAAAACTTTTGTATATAAATCATTGTTTGTTATAACCATTTGTAATAACAGTTATTGTAAATTGTATTATTATTTGTATATCAAAATATATTTGTATTCAAAAAGAAAACTGTGTGTATCAGTCTTGTTGGCAAATATCATAAATTGGAGATATATTGGCATTTATTGAACTACTAAATCTAAATTACAACTTAACTCAATTTCAGGCTATTTGAAATTCTAATACGTAACATAACACAAATGATGCATGTAACAAGCGCATACCAGGTTAGGTGAAAAATATAACAGCATGCAGGCTAAGGTATCAAGAGAAGACAAGAGGTATCTGGGAATAGAAACTACATCAGTGAGAGTCAAAACAAATGAAGACTACAAATTAAATATGTGATCCTGACTAAAGCAATTAAGAGAACATGAGTACCTGATAGCGAATGATTACTCTGAAGTAAACAGTCTCAAAATGAGTCATAATGTGCTGGGCAAAAAACAGGTAAACAATCAAAGTAGAAGACCACATGAAAACCTCCCTCTCTCTCTACAAAAATAATCAAACAGTGGATCAGGAAGTTGAGAAGAATGATAAATTTGGGGAAAATAAACCTGCTGAAAGTCTTTCAATAACTAGTTTAGAATATATCTTTAGTCAGATATATCCATGTAATATTTCAAAGTTTTTTGTATGACATTCTTCTTAAGTGAATGTCAAAAGGTCACAAACATGTACTAATCCTCTTATCCGGGTAATAATTGCATATTTTAAAAGCTAGATCCTCAAATAACTTCAATCCTGTGTCTGACCCTGGAGAGGAGCAAGCCCATTTCAAGGCTTTTATTAACAACTAGCTGATTTTTAAATGTGACAGCAACAACCCACATATAAGGAGGTGAAAAATATAAGGATTTGATATTTGAATCATCCAAAATGACATAAGCACCCTCATGATATAAAAATAGAACATACATGTGAAAAAAAAAAAATTAGACCAGCATAAACTTCTTCAGATCAGTTGTTTTTTCTCTCTCAGGAATTCCACAAATGAGCATCCACATGAATGTGAAGCCAACCAAGTATGTCAGCAGGTTATTAAGAAATAATGGCCTGAATATGTTGATCAATAAGGATTTCATTGAATGTTTAAGTCAAACCATATGAGTTATACCTCAAATAAAAGTATAGTATTCATTATGTGCAAAATTAACAGCACATCTATCAACAAAAAAATCTAAATTATGGCAGAAAAAAGAACTTGTATAAGATCTATTAACACATGTGCTTAAGTCACATGAAAAGTGGAAAAGAGAGTGGAAAATTATTAGTAAGTTGGCACATGCTCTGCACTACTTCAAGGACATTCAGAATTGAGAATCACATCTGTTGACAGCATGAGAGCAACTCAACAAGGAAAAGCTTTCAGTATTTTGAAGATAAATTACTTGATTTGAAAACAACCTTTAGATTTCTCTCATTCAAACCACTCAACGATCCAATTAATTAGTCTTTCTCCAACTCCTTCAGATGTGATTTCCTTAATCTTTTGTGCTACTTTTATCAGATTCTAGAATTTTATCCACCACAGAAGTAATACTAACTGGCCTAAAACTGACTGGCCAACTCTCCCTTTAAAAACAGGAGTAACATAAGTAAATCCAATCCATAGGCAGCTGCTCAATATCTGTTGACCTAAAAAAATTAAATGAAAAAAAAAGACACATATGTGATATTTGACCTCCTTTAAGAGCCTGAAGGAAACCTTGTCTCGTCATGGTGCTTTATTTTTAACCTCTCAAACCTTCTACTCATGAATAAGAGCTTGATATCTACATGATTCAGGTCAATCCCAATATTTCCCACAGAATTCTCAGAAACCGGAATATTGCTAAAATTTTCTCTTGTAAAAAACAGACAAGAACATTTAAAAACTCTGCCACCTCATAGTCTTCAGCAAAAATATTTCCAACAGCATCCTTTAAGGACCTAATCTCCATTTTAATATCTTAATTAGCTTTGACACACTTAAAATTTTCTTTCCTAATTTTTTTCTCAATGAAATTCCTAGCTTGTAAATCTTTCAACCTATCTGTCAATTTAACTTCTTAAACATAAAACACTTATCCCTGATTTCCTCTATTTGTCATTTAAGTTTAGTATGCCAATTATGTTTAATCTTTCCTGATATCCTTTACTTCTAATATGGAACATACTTATTCTGAATTCCTAGCAAGTTATTTTAAATAATTTCCCAAATCGGCCCCACAGTTTGTAGGTCACCAGGCAAGAATGCAGTTTGCGTGCATACTAAAGATGGACTTTACTTTGATTCAACAGAGTTAGACTAAACTACAATTGAAAATCTTCCACCATTTAATCATGGTACTTAATCAAGCATTTAGTTAGCAGTAGAAGATATTCAGAAGGTTTGAAAGAGGGGGATTTTCATCTATCCTGCTAAGATAATGCTTTATTTACTGTTACTGTTTTAGTCTTAAGCCTACTGTAGTTTGAAATTTTGTAAAATAACTTGTATACTCATAGCTGCTTTAAGTGCCATAGTAATCTGTCCCCAAAGGTTTCTAACATCAGGTAATCATCTTCATTCAACATCAAAGTTAGAAGACAATGTGGCTGGCCATTGGAATAGGTTGCCTTCAGATGTGTTGGATACGATACATTTAATGAGAAAATTAATAAGTATGTAAATGATAAAAATTGGCTTTGAGTTTTGTTTCTTTTTAAGTTTAGATTGACCCATTGTTGTTTTTAAATTTTATGTTATTGGTATATGGTAGTGCGTGCCATAGGTATTGTTGCTGAAGTTTGATTGTTAATTAGTTTGGTCTTGCCCAAATATATTTGGCAAATTCCATGTTTCTTTCAGATAGAATACAATATATATATATAAATATATATATATATTAATAGAACAACTAACTATACCAAAGTCTTGGTATCTTGCAGAACTAAAATTAAAATTTTTCAATTTTAAACCAGTCTATGCTTAAATAAAGCACACATACTTTTGGGATAAAAGCAGTACCCTAACCTTTTACATCATCAATAGATACACTGTTATGGAAAGCAAAATGGCCTATTGATGATCCTGAAAAACAAGTGTGGGTTTAAGTTTATTTTTTTTTACTTTTCTTTCCTGAGGGGTTGTAATTATGTTCATGTACATTTCAAATTGCATCACAGATGCTGTAGCAAAAATATCTGGGCTACTTGGTGAACTGGGCTATCATCTGGCAGATACATATATTTTTAATTTTTATTAAAAATAGGGATATGTATATTGGTTATTAAAACAATTATTGTTATAAGTTAAAGTCTTCCATGAGAAACTAAATCAAGCTACATCAAGGCATAACTATTACAAGATCTCTAAAGTCTTCTAAACAATGTGCTTTAGCAAGTAATAAGGGAAACAGGATTTTAGGTTATATACACAGAAATATTGATACTGATAGGGTTCACCCTATAACTTATAAGACAATGGTTAGATCTCATTTAGTATGTTGTGTTCAGTTCTGGTCACCTTTTTTTAAGAAAGGATGTTAAATTGTTAAGATGACTTAGAGAAGAGCTTCCTGGATCATTACAGGTTTTTAAAAGTTATCATATGGTGATAAAATAAAATTTTCTTTTCACTAAAAGTAAGAAGAAGCAATTGAGAAATATGGCTGAGCTATACCAATACTAGTAATAGTGCTTGTGTATGAAAGCATTTTAATTATTATGCTAATATTAATAGTAAATTGACAAACGACTTAAAAAATATAGCATAATGAACTTGTTTTACTTTTGGGGGCAACATATTACACTTTACAGACACTGAAACTAAAACAGAATGAAGAAGACAGGTCAATATTCAGTCGAAACATATACAAAGTATCCAAAATAAAACAACTTCTTTGTTATCATTATGCTTATAAATCTTTGTTTGTCAATTTACTATTAGTAATAGTATTAGTAGTGATGAGGATATAAGGTATCTTTTAATAATTTAGCACAATTGGTTAAGACAGTGTTATATAATCTATTTTTGTGACAATATATAAAATATAAGTGTATTACATACCTATTTTGAAGATCTTTATTAAAACAATACCAAACAACTGTAGCCTAACTACGAAATCAATAAGTCAAACCTTAAAATTCCTATTAATATTATGCTATTATCAACTATAGACCTGACCCTAAAAACAAGCAAGAGGAATTTATTTACGAATAAACCGCCACTTTGAAGATACAAGCGCCATCTAGAAATTCAAGGAATGTTGGTGTACTTTGGTGACAGATTTTCTTGTAGGCAGATTTTGTTAAACAAGACCGATGTCTGTAAGTTTCATTTCTTCTTAGAATTCTTCTCAAGAAGTCGATAAGCCGTCTTAACATTGTTAGAACAACAGGTAAAAGTTGTAGATAGCGATGAGTTGGCCGACGCGTTTCGAATGCATTCTGCATCCATTATCAAGGCTGAATGTTGTGTGAATTGTGATTACTGTTGGTGGATATTTATAGGTATGGGTAAGCAGGTGGTGGTATCTAGCTCATGGAAGGCGTTGATCGGTGGAGTGTTGTATTGTGGCTTGGGGTTTCTCGCCAAGAAGTAGCAGTATGCGTGCTGTTCCTGTCGATTGTTTGTTGACATCCTCCTACATCGGAATGACTACCACAACACTGTCAAGACGCCTAACAATGCACCTACAAAATGGAACCATCAAAGAACACTGTGCCCGCATCCACAACCAAAAACTCACACGTCAGGACCTAGTACAAAACACCAAAGTAAACCGCCGATTTAACGACTTCACAACTCTTCAAATTCAAGAAGCAATAAAAATCCTCCAGCAACCTCCCACGCTCCCCAAACAACCGACAGGAACAGCCCGCACACTGCTGCTTCTTGGCGAGAACCCCCCAAGCCACAATACAACACTCCACCAATTAACGCCTTCCACAAGCTAGATACCACCAACAGTAATCACAATTCACACAACATTCAGCCTTGATAATGGATGCAGAATGCATTCGAAACGCGTCGGCCAACTCATCGCTATCTACAACTTTTACCCGTTGTTCTAACAACGTTAAGACGGCTTATCGACTTCTTGAGAAGAATTCTAAGAAGAAAGTAAACCTACAGACATCGGTCTTGTTTAACAAAATCTGCCATATATATATATATATGTATA